GCTACGACACTCAGTTATGGAAGGCTTTGCCACAACAGCATCCGTCGGTTTGGGAGGTGATCGACCGGACCGGTTTTGGGCCCTTGTTGCGAATGGGTCGAGTCCAAACCGACAACGCCGTCATTACCGGTCTAGTGGAAAGGTGGCGACCGGAGACGCACACCTTCCATTTCGATTTCGGGGAGGCCACGATCACCCTCCAGGATGTACAGGTAAGCTTGTAAACAAATCAAACTTTTTTGATTCGATTCGATATTCGAATTCGATATTCGTGATTCGAATTCGAAATATTCGAATTCGAATTCGAATACGAATAATGTTTTATATTCGAAAGTTAAACGAATCCGAATTCGAATTTGTAGATATTCGATTCGAAATTCGAATATTCGATTCGTTAACAATAACTATATAAATTTTATAAATTATATATAGTATACATTTTGTTTATAATATATATGTATATATATATATTGCTATATTTCTATTATTTTTATGACATAAAAATTAAAACATTATAAATTAACAAATTATCCTAAAAATATATGAAAAATAAAAATTATTTTTTGTAATTATAATATTTTTTAATTATATTTTTTTTGAAAACGAATTCGAATCGAATCGAATATGTTCGAATATTCTAAACGAATCGAATACGAATTAAAAAATGAGTTCGTTAACAAATCGAATACGAATTCGAATCTTCGAATATTTTAACGAATCCGAATCGAATCTCTGAGTATTCGCTTTGATTCGATTCGTTTACAACCCTATGTACAGGTGCTGTTCGGTCTGCCCGTCAATGGAACTGCTTGTTAGGGAGTGACGGAAGATAAAACACCCCAAGCATGGCGTGATAGGTGCAAGAACTTGTTAGGGTTTCAACCCTATGTCGAGGTATATTTTTTTCTATACATATATTTTTTTCTATATATATATTTTTTTTAACGTTATAAAAAATCACTCGCAGGATGCCCCCACCACCCAAGAAGAGGAAGCGGCGCTTGATTCCGCTAACTGGACCATTAAAGGCCAGTTTTTGAAGGGTTTGGAGTTAGAAAGGGAATGCTCGATACCTCTGGGAGATGGACTTCCAGACAGCCGCTACGAGCAGAGGGCGAGGGCCCTTATCCTGTGGTGCCTTGGGTCCTTCTTCTTCCCGGACCAGCGGGCGAATGGCGTGAATCTTTACTGGCTGCAGCTGCTGGAGGACATTGATGGAATAAAGGGGTACAGCTGGGGTTCAGCGCTCTTGACCGCAGTATATAGAGCGCTGTGCACCTCTTACAAGGAAGGTCAATGGTGGATCAAGAGCTGTGTACAATTGATTCAGGTAATACGTATTAATATTAGTTTCTTACAATAGGGTAAAATTATTTGATTCTTCTTTGAAAAATAATATTTTTTTATTCCAAGTTAGACTACTAATACTTAATAACAAATTCATATGTCAACATGTGTAGGTTTGGGCGTGGGAGCGTATCCCTCGTATTCGCCCAAAAATGAAGTCCAGGAAAACGCAGTTTGACATAATCAGTGGTTGCCCCTTAGGTGCAAGGTAATAACATTTATTTATATTTTATACGTAGGGTATTTCCATTATCAATATTAGTTTCTTACAAAGTTTTATTTTTTCTTTTTTTTTTATGTGATTTTGAAGGTGGGTGGGAAAAAAAGAATTGACACATGTAGGCAAAGGAACGGGTCCTATCCGGGATCAGTTGACAGGGCTGGAAGAGACGGACGTAAGATTCTTAATTCTTATTGTTTTATTTATTCTTATTTTTTGTTTTTAATTTTTATAACGTAATTCCTAATTAATTTTTTATTTATATTTTTTTTTTACAGTTTGATTGGCTGCCCTACGAACAGTATCTGGATGCTGGTATTCTCCCGAGTGAGTGTACAGAAGATAGGCAATTTTGGCTGTACCGGGGGTGGATGTTTTGTTGGAGCAGCCGTGAGCTACACTTGCCTGATAGGGTCATGCGGCAATTTGGGTGTCGTCAGTCCATCCCCCAAAATCCAATCTTTACGGGTGAGCAAGACTGGGCCAGACACCACGCCGGCCAAGGAATGACTGGGCGGGCATTCGGTGATTGGGCCCTCTTTCATTCACCGCTTACGAAGGCATGGGCCGATGAAAGAGAACTGCATCTCATCCCAATTGCCCCTGCGTATGATTTCCTGCAGCCAGAGCAGGGTTACCTCGATTGGTTTCACAGTAGGACTGTGAGACTCATCAGTAACCCTGGCAATTACGCTGTCTTCCAACAGGCCGGCGGCTATCGGCCATTTGCCGAGCGGTTAGGGTGCGAGGTAAGTGTTCATAATAATTTGTCGTTTTATTATTATTATTATTATTATTATTTTTCTTTTTTTTTTATTTATTTATGTTGTTTCATACTAATTACTTTGAATTTTATTTTCAGACTTCTGGCCTGGAGGGGGTTTATAACTCCTTATCGAGTATTCAACACTTAATGCCTACATTCCCTCCAGAGGCACAATCCGCATTCCAACAGTCTTTCAACTTTGCATACACTTCCCTGACTGTTGGAGGCCGAGGTCCTACACAAGGGGCGTCGTCAAGTCAAATTCTATCCCAGGACGACTACATTCCATTCCAGAGGACACAGTCCCACGACGCGAGGCATCGACCCGCTGCCAACATTGGTGGGGGTAGAAGACCTCGGGCCCGTGACCGCGAAAATGAACAACGCCCAACCAATCCACCCTCCCCCCAGCACCTCCAATCTCAGAACCTCGGCCTTGAACAATGTAAGATCTATTTACTTAACAAAATATTATTTTTTGGTCTTTTTTTATTTTTTTTATTTTTTCCTAAAGTTGAGTTTGTGATTTTTTTTACTAAATGCATTACTCAGTTGAAGAGGACGAAGGAGAAGAGAATGAGGACGATTTTGATGATGACACGCCTCTCATAGAGCTCCGGAGGGGGGATCGACTGCGCAAACCTAGGCAACCATTCACTCCTTCATCTTCATAGTTAGTTTGTGTCTTATGTATTGAAATTTGTGGACATATTCGTGTGTAAACCGTATTTTCATCTTTTTGTATATAGTGTTTCTTTTATAAATTATTGTTTTTGATCTTCTTTTATATGTTGGGTTGATTGATATGTGTATGTTGGGTTCGTTGATATGTGTATGTTGCGTGGATTGATATGTGTATGTTGGTTGAACAGGTTGGTTTCTTCAAATGGATTCAAAAATTTTGTTTTTTCTGCAGTTTAAAACGTATTCTGGGAATACGTTTTATATTTTTTTGTTCATAAAACGTATTTTCAGAATACGTTTATATATGAATCAATTTAGGGCAAAATTGAATTGGGGCAAAATTGAATTTGGGGGAAAAATTGTACAAAAAACGTATTTCCGAAATACGTTTTTTGTTTTATATTATTTTGTCCAACAAAATTGAATTTTCAAAATTCTAAAAATTCATTTCATATAAAATACGTATTTTGAAAATACGTTTTATAAATCGAAAATAATTTTTAATTATAAAACGTATTTCGGAAATACGTATTAATTTTTTTTAAATTAAAACGTATTTTCGGTATACGTTGTTATTCAACGTAATTATCTTAATTAATCATATTAAATGAAACCGTATTTCAGGAATACGTTTTATAAGTAAAACGTATTTCGAACATACGTTTTATAATTAAAAACGTATTTTCAGAATACGTGTGTTTGATTTATTTCCACCCTATTTTTTTTTTTTTACTTTTGTCCAGTTATTTTTGTTTATTTTTAATTAAATAAATAAATCTAATATTTTTCCCCCTTTTCTTATTTCTTATCTTGTTTCTAATATTGCTGTTTATTTTCTCTTTATTCCATATTAGATGGGGATTTTATTATCAGATAATTGTTGTTATGAACATTTAGATTTTGATAAAACTCAATATTAACCATTTATTTTAAGTATAAAGATAGAAATACTATTCTATATATAGTAAACTTTTTTGTATTATTAAATTATATTAAAAAAATAATTTTATGTAGATATCATTATACCATAATTATAATGTAATTTTTATTAAGTTTAACATTAAAATTTAAAATTCACTGGACTTGAAAAATGTGACAGAAAAAGTCCTGCTTAAATAGTCAGAAACTGCAAAATATGCCGGAGAAACAGGTGATATTAGTGTTTTGAACTTTGTGTTGGAAATCTTTGCAATTTGTGTTTATTGTAATGTTAGGTATTTTATGTTTAGTTCAAACTCTTGATTTGTTGTTAGGCTTTGTGTTAGCCTCTTAGGGGATGCTTATGCTTTCCTCATTCTTCGGTTGCTTCAGTGTTTTGAAGCTCTGTTGATTCATAACCAGTTGGTTGTATGGATACTATGTTATGAGTTTTCGTTTTAATGCATTAAGTTTATCNAGGTGATATTAGTCGGTGGTGACTGGCAAGATACTGTCGTGGTGAATTCATAAAATTATTTAATACTTCAAAATAATTTTCAAAGTACAGATACATAGGTACATTCACTAAATGACAAATTACTAAAATACATAAAATTATTTAAAATAATTTTTAAATACATAGTATAAAAAAAAAATGAAGAATCTTATTTATTTAAAAATGACAAATTCACTGAATTTAAAGGATAACATTAAAATTACTTATACTAGATTCTACTAATTGTTAAATCCACATCCACAAAAGCTAACATTAATAAAAAAGCAGGATCCCGATTCCCGAACAACCAATCTTTTCGGTAACATCCTAAACAGCTGAACAAAATAACTGAAATTCTTAATACATATTATTTAGTAAATATTAGTAGTCACTTAAGTAAACGAGATGAAAACGAAAAATTCTAAATTCCAATCTCTAAAGTATAGATAAGTTCAAGAAAATGACGAATTTCAAAACTAGTAAGTATACGATTATCAATCAACTTTTGAAAATTCTACAACATTTGGATACTCCGGATTTTTTTAGACTTTTAAATAAAGCATATATATAAGAATTGAATATCCCAAAGACGTCCAATGGATTTAGACTTTTTCACAATGAATTTACGTAAATTCCTATAGTTTCAATAAAACTTTGAAAAAACACAAGTACCACCCTTAAAATTGAATGAATCCGCAAATAAACTTTGAAAAAATCCATGATATTTGTTTGTTTGGGGTAAGGGAGGAAAAGGATCAAAACATTTAAGGATGATTTTTGTGAACTTACCTGGACATAAAAGCAGCAAATCCTCAAAAGACAAATTATTTTTGTGTACATAACAGAAAACAACAAAGTAGATGTGCAGTTGAACTACACAATGAGGCAAACACTAGTCGTTTACAACCATTGTGTCCATGGCTGTATTGTCCACTTTTCTTATGGACAACCTATTATCGGCACCTGGTATCTGATCGAGTATAATCGTGTCTTCTTCCTTAATATCCCCTCTTAATATCCCCATTGCAATCTCGTTTTCGACCATCTGTTGTATCACCCTTTTCACAGGCCTTGCTCCAAAATTGGGGTTGAAACCTAAAGCTCCCAGAAGTTTAACGGCTTCCTCCGTGAAATGCAAGTTGATGTTCCTCTGTTTAAGCCTGTCTTTTACGCGATTCAACTGCACATGACAAAAATGTTTCCCGTCAGATTTCACATCACTTGATATTCGCAAATTAGGCCAACTGACACCACAAAAAATAAGCAAAATGCAACTGATTCATAGATTATTGAACTTAACATTAGTGAAAAATGAGGATCATATAATTCATAAAAACTTGTGCCTAACATATTGACAGAGCAAGAACATCAACTTTTTAGTTCTAATTGTCTATTTATAGGGTTATAGTTTCAGATACTAGTCATTAGATTTTTATTTTCTTGGATTTTGCAAACCTTTTACCTGTCTTTAGATTTTTTAGTGTGTGTTTGTTTATAAAAATATCCATACTCAAGCAAAACTCAAAATTTAACTCAAATGTAACTCAACCCCATTACTTCAATATTATCAATAAAATTGAATAATATCAACTAATCATTCTTATACATCACATCAACTTTAAGTCACTATTCATCCACTCACATCATTTTAACTACCATCACTTTCAATCATCTATCTCCTACTTTTACATCAAATCAATTTTGATCATTTTATTTTAAATATTATTTTAACACAAACTTAAAATCTCACTAACTAACTATACCAACTTTTTCAAAATTAACAAATCAGTAAAGCCTTTTTATTTTTTACATTTTAAGTTATTTTAGTTTTTAATGCCTTTATATTTCTTGTTACACATTTCAGAATTTAGTTTTAACACAGAGTGCACCTAAAAAAAAACAAAAATACCTGAATCTCGACAATTTTACTGATCTGTTCGGAATCAAGAGGCTGGAAAACAATGTACTCGTCGATCCTGTTCATAAACTCCGGCCGGAAAGTCTCTCTCGCCAGCTCAACCACCTGCCTCTTCATCACCTCGTAAACCGCGTCCTTCCCATCCTGCGTATTCCTAAGCGTCTCCAGAATATAATGCGACCCGATATTCGACGTCATGATCAGAACCGTGTTTGTGAAGCTCACAGTCCTCCCCTGAGAATCCGTAATCCTCCCATCATCCAACAGCTGCAACAAGATATTAAAAACATCGTGGTGCGCTTTCTCGATCTCGTCAAAAAGTACAACCGAGTACGGCCTGCGCCGTACAACCTCAGTCAACTGCCCACCTTCCTCATACCCAACATATCCAGGTGGCGCCCCCACTAGTCGAGACACTGCATGCTTTTCCATGTACTCGCTCATGTCGATTCTGACGAGGGCGTTCTCGGTATTGAAGAGATAGCCTGCAAGAGCTTTGGCAAGCTCGGTTTTTCCGACTCCTGTGGGCCCCATGAACATGAAGCTGGCGATGGGCCGGTTAGGGTCGGAGAGGCCCGCCCGCGAGCGGCGGATGGCGTCGGCCACGGATTTGACGGCTGCATCTTGGCCGACGACTCGTTTGTGGAGGACGCTTTCGAGGAGGACAAGTTTGTCGCGTTCGGTTTGCTGGAGGTTGGAGAGGGGTATTCCCGTCCATCGGCTTACTATTTCGGCGATGTCGAGATCGGTGACTTCTTCGCGGAGGAGTGACTTCCCGGATTTCTGGTAGTCGGAGAGGCTCTTCTCGGCTTGCTCCAGCTGGCGCTGGAGTGACATCAGCGTGCCGTACTTGAGTTCGGCTGCTCGGCTGAGGTTGTATTCTCGTTCGGCGGCTTCCATCTCTAGGTTGACTCGGTCAATCTACTCGCCACAAAAAAAAAAAAGGTGTGTTCTTTATTTTTTGGTCAAGTGTTACTGAAAACTTAAACTTTGGTTGATTGATTATTGATTATTGATTATTACCTCTTCTTTAATCGACCTGACACGATTCATGAGGACTTTCTCGTTCTCCCACTGCTCATTTAATTCCTTTTGCTTTTGTTTGAGAGCTCCTAAATCGTGTTCCAGCTTGGTCAGCCTCTCTTTGGAAGCTGCAGCTGTGTCGTTTTTCAAAGAGAGCTTTTCCATCTCCAACTTAAGCACTGCGCGGTCTATCTCGTCCAGTTCAGTAGGCTTGGACGTGATCTCCATTTTAAGTTTCGCAGCAGCTTCATCGACAAGATCAATGGCTGGTGGCATTGCAAAATTTATACGAAAATGCATTAGGTAATATTCATTCACAGTTTCAAACCCAAAGATTATTTATGTTAAGTCCCACCTTTGTCTGGCAGAAACCGCTCTGTGATGTATCTATCTGAAAGAATTGCAGCTGAGACGAGAGCATTGTCTGATATTTTCACACCATGGTGCAATTCGTAACGTTCGCGAAGTCCACGCAGGATAGATATTGTGTCTTCTACAGACGGCTGACCACAAAATACTTGTTGAAACCTACGTTCGAGAGCGGGGTCTTTCTCTATGTATTTTCTGTACTCGTTCAGTGTGGTGGCCCCAATGCATCTCAGTTCTCCTCGGCCAAGCATTGGTTTTAATAAGTTTCCAGCGTCCATGGCACCTCCAGTGGCCCCTGAACATCAAGTAGAATTTTATACTCGTCATCAGAGGAATACAGGAGAGAGAATTCTAAATATATTACAATCGCTAATAGATTAGAGGCTACTTTAAGTAAAAAAAATAGAATTTAAGCTAGAATAAATTTTTGAGTGAAGTATCTTTATCATACTAATAGTGAATTACTTTGGACATGTAATGGGTAGCCCTTGCTACAGACCAGAATGAAATGAAGCAGTTGATTTATGCAATAACTAGAAGAAAAAGGTTGAATTCAACAACAGAGAAATATAGAACCTGCGCCAACTACGGTGTGAATTTCATCAATAAACAATATGATCTGCCCATTTGATGCAGTGACCTCCTTCAATACAGCTTTTAACCTTTCCTCAAAATCTCCGCGATATTTTGCACCAGCAAGCAATGAACCCATGTCCAGAGAGATTAGCTAATCCACGTACAAACAGCAAATAGTCAAATTATGTTATCGATACGGAAGTGTAATTTTAACTTACATGAATTCTTGATGAAAGAATATAAGTTCACCAACTGACATAAAGACATTGAACTAAAAAACAAAATTGCCTTTAGTGAGACACACAAAGACAGTGTCTACAACCTTTCGATCGAGCAATGGTTCTGGGACATCCCCACGAACAATCCTTTGAGCTAACCTGCAAATTTAACAAGTGTCATGTGATAAATTTTACAAAAACGTAAGGTAGAAGCATGTGAGGTGACAACCAATCTTCAATTTCTCAGAGTGATCAGCAATAGTCGGCATTAATTTTTAAGGGAGAGGATTTTGAAAGAACATTTTAGAAAGAACACATTACAGAGCAATTTTTTTAGATTTTAAGTCTTTACTGCAAACAAATCGAGATAGTACCCTTCAGCAATTGCAGTTTTTCCTACTCCAGGTTCCCCAATTATAACAGGGTTGTTCTTTGTCCTGCGCGACAAAATTTGAATGCATCGTCGTATTTCATCGTCACGTCCTATAACTGGGTCAAGTTTTCCACGTCTGGCAAGTTCAGTTAAGTCATTCCCATATTTATCAAGTGCCTCATATTTGCCTTCTGGATCTATACAAGATTCCAATCAACTTCAACTGTCAGTATACAACAGCCAGTGAAGAAAAGGAAAAGTAAAATAAAGAACTCCTACACGAACAGCTAGAGCCAGTGAATAATAAAATAAAGATAACTCCTTCCCAAATAACTAACTACTTCCACAGAAAATATGAGTGACGACAATGTTACTGGCCATTATTTGTTAACCAACTACTGAAAAAGATTTGCTACTTTGAGTCCAAAATAAAATCAATATGTTTTAATTATCTTCCATTCAATTACCTCCACGACATATTAATCTCATGTTAAATAAAAACCAAATGCAAGGAACAGAAGTCCTAAGTGTACTGACTGTCTCAATGTAGGATCCTAAGTATTTTCTACATATGAAAAGGATGAGCTCTTGCACAGTGGAATAACTAAATAAATATATGTATATATAACAATTACCGATCCCTGAGTTCCTCTGAACCTTAAAAGTAGAATACATTTTTGAGTCGATTATCGTGCATCCTAGAAGATAATGTAAGAAAACCATCTAGTCATACCTTTTTTCGGTCGGTAACAAGTATACTACTACTACTTACACAGTATAGCTAGACTTCTCAAATAATTGACGTATGTAAGATGCTAGAACATACTTTGGTCGGTAACTCTTTGACTACCGCGAACAGCTTTGACGGCCTCCTTCAAATCCTTCTCACTCAGTTGAAGGTTTTTGAACAGTTGTTGCCCAAATCTCCTATCCGAAGGAAAAGCCAATACCAGATGCTCAACAGAAACAAACTTATCACCCATTTCCTTTTTAAACTTTCTTGCATTGTCCAACAGAGTACCGAAATTGGAGCCCACAATAGGTCCACTAGTGTCCCCTGAAACCTGCTGGGAGAAGTTAGATAAAAGCTTTCGGAAAAACTCCCCGACACATCAACTCTCAGAAATTATACCTTTGGTTGCTGAGAGATAAAACTGTCAGTCGACTGCAAAAGTGTTGTGTTGTCGATACCAGCCTTGGTAAATATTCGCCTTGCCAGCCCATCCTTTTGTTCCAATAGAGCTTTCATTAGATGCTCGGTTTCCACAATTTGTTGTTTGCAGTCCCTAGCTGCATCCACAGCTCCAACAACTCCGTCCCATGCCATCTCAGTAAAATCCGAGCCACTGAGCTGTTAAGTAAAATAACACAGCTGAAACGTGCAAATTAATTCAAGCTTCAAAGATAAAGGAAATAAACCCAGCTAGACAAATTTGTAAACTCTCTTGTATACTTCCCTAGAGATTCTACATATAGAAACCCGAATCTAAATTAAGCTGAGACATTGTAAAACGAAATTCTGATCAAAGTTCCCTTTTTTTAATTCTCACCACTCCGCTTATGCAACGGACACTTTTCTGCCTCTTGGGAACACAGTTGAGAATAAAGGGATAAACCCTCAGGGTTTTACAGAAACTAACAATTGAGCGGGCTATGCATTGACAAACACAACAATAATTTCATTCCGAACACATGATGAATTGAATAGGTTTGAAGACAAAACAGTACAAACGTACCTGTCCTGTAGCAGCAGCTGCAGAGTAAGAGCGAGTAAAACCAGGGCTCCAATTCCAAAGGCTGCGGCTGAGGCACGATGTAGAAAATAAATGGGGGGAATATAATCCACTCGCATTAGCGGCATTTTCGGCCCGAGGCCAAAGCCCGGGGCCGGCAGCAGCGGAAGCCGAGCGTGTCGTGGCAGGGGTAGGTGCAGAAATTCGAGGAATTCGTCGAGTGCCGGCCGGGGAACCCTTGAGTGCCGCCGCCGCCGCCCTGCTCAGCCGCGCGGCTGATGAGCTTCTGGAAATCGCCATCGCCACTAAAGTTGTAGCTAGAAACAGAAATGGAAGTGGGCTTTGCAAAAACTTCGACTGAAAACGATTATAATGTTTGTTTTAATATGGGGGTATTGTATTGCTCGTCATACTTGAAATCGACTCGAAGCTTGGGGAAGAAGTTCGCAACTTGGAACATAGTAGAAGCTTCTCAATTTATCCTTTACAACGATGGCGTGATAGTTTTTTTAAAAAAAATAAATAATAATAATAAAATAAAATTGGCTCAAAATATAATTTGTTTAATTACTTCATCATAATTTTAAAATTAGGATATGTCACTGACTCAGGTTAACTCCAAGTCACCGATCCACTGTCATCAGGTCAATTATTGAATTAAGTAATTAATTTTATAACATTTTAAATTATATTTAGGGCGTGCTTGTTTATGAAATATTTCATTTAAAATGAATTATTTTAGTTAACTAGAGTTAATTTTGAAAAATGTAGTATGGTTAATTGTTAGTGGGATATAAATGATTGGAAATGATTATTAATGATTTAATGTAAAAGTAGGATATAAATGATTGGAAATGATAGGTAGTTAAAATTATGTGAGTGGATGAATAGTGAATTAAAGTTGATGTGATATGTAAGAATGATTGGTTTATAATATTTAATTATATAAATAATATAAATGATAGTGGGGTTGAGTTAAAGTTGAGTTAGATTTTGAGTAGGAAATGAATTATTTCATAAACAAGCATGGCCTTATAGTATTTTTACCCTGTAAGAATACATAAAATAATAAAAATAAATAATTTATATGTAAATTTTATACTTTAGAAACTAAACAATACTATATTTTATCGTAAATATTTATCACATAAATATAACTATACATAATTTTATTTTTAAAAATAGAAAAGCTAAAAAATAAATAAAAATAATAATTGTCGAGTCAAACCGAATTAACCTGATCGGGTCAAGGTCGAGTTTTAGTTGGGTTCGACCGGGGACCTTGCTACCCTGTCCAAACAACCCACCCCGATCGGCCGACCTCAGGTCTATCGAGTCCCAGGTCGACCCGTCGGGCAGATCCAAATCTCAAAACAATGAACCTCAATATCCTCAATAATATCAATATAATTAAATAATAGACAAAATTGCACCTCACTTCACGACTTTATCGACTTTTGCACTTCTGTCACGATTTTGGGACCTTGACACTTCGATACCCAACCTTTGAGTTATTTGCAAGACCAAGCATTAACCAGATCGCCGACCGACCAGATGTCATCATGTCCGGCAACTTAATTCAACATGGCACTTACGTGGATAACGTTCCTCATGCCAAAATGACACGCTAGATGGGACGACATTGTTTTGATTACATGTATAAATAGTTAAATACCTCAAAATTTTTATTTATTACATTAAAAATAGAACACGAATGCCCTAAATTCCTACTCCTAAATCAAAATCGAAATCCAAAATCCATAAATTCTTTTCACTCTTTCCTCGACCAAATATCTTTCGAAGGTTTCGACAACCGAAAATTTGTGTCGACAAATCTAAAAGCCATTAAGAACCTACAAATTCTAGACAAATCCGCAATTTCTGAAAACATCTGGAAATTTCTGAAGACCCTAGAAAATCTCTGCAAATCCCCATTGAAGATGGCAAACAATTATGGAATATCTTTCTTTTTTTTGTTTTCTTTATTTGCTCAATATTAGTACATTATGTATTATTTATTGGAAGTCGATAGCTTAGGATTCATATATATGTGTGGTATGTGGAGGACACATTTCTGATTTATGAGAGAAATTGTGTTGCTTTTGTTTTTTCAGTAAAAAATTATCAATATTTCTGAATCACAGTGGGAATTCTTTATGTTGGATTATGTTAGATAATAAGATGGAGTATTTTGGAGAAGACATTCATATCAGGCATGGTATTGATCTTGATAGGTTTGGGTATTTGGATTTAGTAGATGAAATTAGAAAACGTGGTTACACTAAGGTTGGCAAAGTGTATTACAAGATCCGTGGGGAAATGGGGTCGGTTAGTTACATACATATCTACAATAATGTTACTTTGATGGATATGATTGGGAGTTCGGAACCTAAGAAATTTTATGCTCACGTTTTGTTAATTTATTATTTCACTGACGCTAGCGCTCGTTCATCACATTTTTATTATGCCGGAATTTAATACACTTGGAGGGTTTAGCATAACAATCCTTCATGAACTCACTCTGTGGACATCATCAGACTAACGCACAGGGTGACCGTAAATATCCTAACAGTACATAGTATATATAGTAATATTACCCAAAACAGTAAGAATATTGATCAAACGAACTGAACCTCACCCAAGTGAATCAAAGTAATATGTACTACATAGATATGCCTGTTTAATATCTTACAGGTTAAGAGAACGCAATAATTAACCGAGGCCTAGTTCATTTATGACGATCAGTATAAAATGAATTTCTCCTCTCTGGGATCCTGTTCAATACATAAATGTACTAGTGCAACTAATCAGTCAAGGGAAACTGTACAGTTGACACTACAACCGTTCGAATGTAGTATTCATGTCCATCTAGGTTGTGAACGACTATTCTTATTAGCAAGTAACTGATAGAATGATCTTCGGTTCGCCCGATGACGACCCACTCTATCTAAGTGCAAAACAACAAAACATAGAACTTGTTTAATGTAACATGATTCTGATTCACAAAGGGCAAATATATAATAACATGCAAAGCTAAACTTTCAGTATATAACACTAACACACAAGGCACTGACATCTGAGCTCGGAATGAGACTTGAGAACATTCCTCAGTGTAAAGAGGTCATTCAAAGTTATACTTTGTATAATGGGTCTAATATCCAGTTTTTAGAGTTAATCATCATCGGGCTGAAACCAAGTGCCTTGATGGTTGTCCTTGGAAGATATATGCTAGTGAAATCAAGACCGAAGGAAGAGTTGCAGTCAAGACTCTTATTTCAAAGCACACTTGTACCTGGGATATTAGAACAAGACAAGCCAATGTCAGGTGGATTGCTAACGAATGCATCAACAATTTCAGAACGAAGCCAAGAATGAAGATTGTTGAGTTAGAGGAGTACNCACTCCCATAGGGTGTGTGATTAAGGGAGGACCCCCAACCTATATATAATTAAACCCAAAAATGGGCTGGAAAATCACAGACAAACTAGTTCATACAACAAAAAAAGACAACCAAGGCCAAAAACAAGAGAGAAATAAAGGAAAAGAGGGGAAATAGAACAACAACCAAAGTGAAAAATCTGTAAACTGGGCACAGGTGCCCAGGCAAATAGTCTGCGCCACGAAAGGGCTAAAACAAAAAAGAAAGCCAAAATAACTATCCAAATCTGAAGAGTACTATTCAGCCTTCAAAATGGAAGTTGTATAGAGCAAAGAAAAAGGCATTGGACATGATTAGGGGATCTGAAGAATAACAATATAAGTGTTTAAGAAGCTACATAGTTGAGTTGGTGAGAGTTGATAGGGCTGGAAAGTTTAGAGTCCTTTTGGAAGTGGGCAGCATATTCAAAGCCATGTATAATGAGTTTAGTGCATTGAGAGATGGATTTTTACAATGATGCAGACCAGTGATTGGATTGGATGACTGCTTCTTGAAGACAAGTTTAGGAGGTGTCTTGTTATGTGCAGTTGGCAAGGATGGTAATAATCAGATTTACCCAATTGCATGAGGAGTTGTCTGCATGGAGAATGAACTTACTTGGTCTGGCTTCTTAGAAAAACTTCTGGCATAGCTGAAAATAAGGGATGGTTTGGGATGGACCTTAAAAAGTGATCTGCAAAAGGTTATTACCATCCTACATATTTGCAATATTCATTTAATTTACATTCTTCATTAATGCTATTTTGTTTATTAAAAAATTGTCCTCTTGTTTTATATTGCAGGGTCTTATAAATGCTGTAAAGATTTATGTACCACATGTTGAGCACATGAATTGTGCATGAACTGGAAGAAAGCTGGCTTGACTTTGAAGAACTGTTTTTGGAAGCTTGTGCATAACACATATGAGGCCGAATACAATGAAACACTTGAGGATTTGAAGGTAGTAGATGAGAGTGCCTTCAAGGACTTCTTTGAAAAGAGACTTTTAGGTTCTCTAAGTGTTTTATTTCAGAATCTCCTAAGTATGATATGAATTTGAATAATGTTTGTGAAACATTCAATAACACCATCGTGAAGGTTAAAAATGAACCCATTGTGCAGATGTTAGAAGACATTAGAAGTTATATCATGAAGAGGCAACATGATAAGATGAGATGTGGTTTCGCTATGAAGCCAACAGTTGGCTCCATAGTGGAGCCAACCTTCTATATACAACAAGTAAACCATAAAGTGAGATGTGGTTTCGCTGTGAAGCCAACGGTTGGCTCCATAGTGGAGCCAACCTTCTATATACATTAAGTAAATCATATTATATTATTTGATTATTTAACTAAATAATAAATATGGTATGATTTACTTGTTGTATATAGAAGGTTGGTTCCACTATGGAACTAAGTGTTGGCTTCATAGCAAAACTAAGGTGGGATGAATAATTTGTCACACGTGGGTAATATATTAAAATACTAAAATAAATATAAATATTAAAATATTATTTATTAATATAAATTGTTAGAGGTTAGCAAGCTAATATATTGTTAAATTAAAACAAAATATTAAAAAAAAAATATCAACCTTAATGTTTCAATAATCAATATTATTGACGCACGTGGGTAATATGTCTGCCTCACTACGTGCTCCCATCATCCTCCTCTGTTCCCTCCCGCTGCCTTGTTTCGTCCTCGGGCGGAATCAGCTCCTGCTCGTCGTCTTTGACATAAATAAGCTCATACTAAACAAAAGCCCTTTTGCCCCTTTGTTCATAGAAGCTTATACAAGCATTTATGCAGGCCTTTGGCTGCAACCTGCAAGTGGAGTAAATACAAACCCTCCTTGCACCCCAAAAGCAGGCAGCTAGTGCACAGCGCCATTACTTTTCAGTTTTTGATTTTAATTATTTAGTGGGTGACTCCAATTTTTGTGTGAATGGCCACCATAGCTGCGACCACGATAGCCACCTATGGGAATTCGACTTTGGGGTGGAATAGGTTGAGGCCATCTCACTCCTTCACCGCCCTTTCTTACGACCAGTCTTCTTCTACTGCCGCCGCCGTGAGA